GACTCTTTTCCATTTTTAGCCCAGTTAGGTCCAAATAACTTGGGGAAAAAAATATTTACTATCAATAATTAACATTGTGTTTTCAAAATGACTAATCTTTGTTAAAATTGCAAAAATTAGGTCATTTCAAATTTTTTTTTAAATATTAATTTTAATAAGCCCCCGTTTGGCCCACATTATTTCTCATTAAATTAAATTAAATTTTTCTCTCTCCTATTTTTAACCATACAATCTTCAATAAAATAATATTACACGTAAACCAAAAATTTTTCTTTTCTTTTCAGCCACTCATTTTTCAAAAAAATACTATTCAAAACATTATAATCTCCAAATGATGGGGCTCAAACGAGGGCTAAGATTGTGATGTGTAACCAATTAGTAAGTTACCAAAATTAGTAAATTCATTTTTGGTATATATACAACAATTTTATCTCTCCCACACTTTTAGAATAAAGCCAATTAGCCAGATTGAAAAACAAGTAGTGAAGAAACAGACTAATGTGTCAAAAAATGATTTGGTATCTTTGTTTTAATTTTTCAAATTGTTTAATAATATGTCAACACGTGTTTTATTTGGATTTGAGTTTGAATGTGTAGCAGAATTCACAATTTTACGTACAACCAAATCTTGTGACCAGTGATACAATATCTCAACGGTCACAAACATAAACTAACAAACCCCTTGCAAGGGTTGTAATCACAATATCGAATTCAGATGATATAATGGAAATTCTTAAGCACATTCTGGAAGTTTTTTGAATTGGCATTAACATTGATAATCATAGAAATGAGGTCATAATGCACTAATACGGTTAGAAAAAAATACTTAAAACCTAGGCCGAATGCTAGAAAGATGCAAATTCATGTATTGATGAACTTCAACGTGCTTCGTTGTGATATAAAAAGTGAATTAAGATGGGAAGAAGGGTTTTGATATATCTGACATCCAACACTAGTCTCAGTGATGCTAAGTGATATGAAAGGTAAAATTAAAGTGAATTATTTAATTATACTTCTCATTTAGGGTCTGTTTGACTGCGAAAATGAAATTTGGGTGAAAAGAAAATGAATTTCAGGGAATTGAATTAACTAGAAATTGTTTTCCTGGGAATTGTAAATTATTGTGTTTGATTGATATAATTTTCAACGTGGAAAATTTTGAAGTAAAAGTATTTTTTTGTATTCGTTTGACTTTGTTTTACATGAAAATTGTCAATTTAAGGGATATTCACTTCTACCATTGTTCCTAGAATTTGTTTCTATTGCCAACCAAAAAAAAAAAAAAAGAAAAAAAAAAAAAAAAAAAAATTAAAAAAAAAAAAAAAAAAAAAAAAAAGGAAAAAAAAAAGATCAAAAAATTATCTATATTTTGATGTTCGTTTGACTTTGTTTTACATGAAAATTGTCAATTTCAGGGATATCCTCTTTTATAATTGTTTTTAGAATTTGTTCTCATTGCCAACAATTAAAAAAAAAAAAGCAAAAAAAAAAAGAAGGTGGAAAACCAAAAACCATTTACCCCAAGGAAAAAAGGTGAAAAATCACGTTTTAAGGTGTTGTACCTAGAAATTCATGGAAAATCAATTCTTTGAAAAATTTTGTCAATCAAACAGGCCAAAAGTGAAAGTTGGAATTCAAATTTCAAGTTCCATAAAAAATTTCGTGCAATCAAACGGGATCTTAATGTTATATTATTGTCACATTGATTAAATGTTAAATAGCATTGCTCGTCGAAATTCACAAACTCTTTTCAACTACTCATTTAGGGTCCAAACTTTTCTCCTAGGCATAGTGGGGGAAAATTTGACCATTTTAACCCGCACATTCTAGAGCCCAACATGGTTACCATCTCCTAGAATCCCTCCCAATTGCTGGGCCAATTTTGACCTTGAACAACCCATCTCCCAGAAGGCCCACTATGAAAGTAATTCAATCCTTTTTTCAGCCCATTAATGTTTAGGGTGTAATTCTAAGCTAAGTTTTTTTTCTTTCTTTCTTTCGTTTTCTTTCTTTCCACTTCAATTTCAGGAAAAAAAAAAAAAAAATCTTGCTTAGTACTTGATAAAAGAGGGAAATTGCTCATTTTACATTTAGGTAGAAACCTCCACAAACAATAGTCGTCGCTACAAAAAAATATTCACTTTCAACGAGGCAAATTTTTGTCACGAAAAATCATTTTTATGTTGTTTAATCGAGAGAGAAGTTTTCGTTATTAAAAGTAACATTTTTTGTAGATATTGATGGTATTTATTTGAGTGAATAATTTATATTTTAGAATTTTCAGAGTTGAATAATTTTTGTATTTTGAACATCTATCATAGAAGTGGACTTTTTGAAACAATAAATTGCTAGCTTAATTGAATATATTAATAAGTTCAGGGTATCATGCATAGACTCTTTTAAGACATTCAAAGGATAGATTTCAGAGTTGTCACCATTTTCTTATAGCGTGTGATTGGCCTTACACAATTGAATCATTAAAATGATTGCTCCTTAAGTCTCGGACCCAATATCTCCAGCATGCTTCTCTTATCCTTCAACTTTCATTAAACTCGACAATTTCTTGGTTGACGACATTGTGTCCTATCTCTTTCTCCACCAGCCGATCAACAAGAGTCGCGATTCATTCCCTCTTTCTTTTTAAGAACTTGATATATGGTAGTGCTATTCATGACTTGGGTTGTAGCAATCGGAAATAAATTTTCATCTATTTCGTGTTGACATGTTTCGTCAGTTGAGATACCAAAGGACAAATTTGAAAATAAGTCTTTGTGTCAAAATTTTGGTTTTCGGTCAAATAATCAAGTATTCTTCTAGCGAGAAATTTCATATAGATATTGGACTTGTTTTAAAACTCATATTAAATGACGAATTTTGTACTCGAGAAAAAGTTATTTCGGATAAGCTAGGCCTAGGTTATTGTAGTGCATAGGAAGATATATTTTAACAGATTTCATCTTTTTTTTTTTTTTTTTATCTATTGTTATGTAATAGTAGCATCCCAATTTTCCACGATGGAATTCGATCGTAGGATCCGGTTCAAATTCAATAAGGGTCTGTTTGATTGCGAAAATAGAATTTGGGTGGAAAGAAAATGAATTCCAGGAAATTGAATTACCTAGAAATTGTTTTACAGGGAATTGTAAATTATTGTGTTTGATTGATATAATTTTCAACGTGGAAAATTTTGAAGTAAAAGTATTTTTTTGTATTCGTTTGACTTTGTTTTACATGAAAATTGTCAATTTAAGGGATATTCACTTCTACCATTGTTCCTAGAATTTGTTTCTATTGCCAACCAAAAAAAAAAAAAAAGGAAAAAAAAAAGATCAAAAAATTATCTATATTTTGATGTTCGTTTGACTTTGTTTTACATGAAAATTGTCAATTTCAGGGATATCCTCTTTTATAATTGTTTTTAGAATTTGTTCTCATTGCCAACAATTAAAAAAAAAAAAGCAAAAAAAAAAAGAAGGTGGAAAACCAAAAACCATTTACCCCAAGGAAAAAAGGTGAAAAATCACGTTTTAAGGTGTTGTACCTAGAAATTCATGGAAAATCAATTCTTTGAAAAATTTTGTCAATCAAACAGGCCAAAAGTGAAAGTTGGAATTCAAATTTCAAGTTCCATAAAAAATTTCGTGCAATCAAACGGGATCTTAATGTTATATTATTGTCACATTGATTAAATGTTAAATAGCATTGCTCGTCGAAATTCACAAACTCTTTTCAACTACTCATTTAGGGTCCAAACTTTTCTCCTAGGCATAGTGGGGGAAAATTTGACCATTTTAACCCGCACATTCTAGAGCCCAACATGGTTACCATCTCCTAGAATCCCTCCCAATTGCTGGGCCAATTTTGACCTTGAACAACCCATCTCCCAGAAGGCCCACTATGAAAGTAATTCAATCCTTTTTTCAGCCCATTAATGTTTAGGGTGTAATTCTAAGCTAAGTTTTTTTTCTTTCTTTCTTTCGTTTTCTTTCTTTCCACTTCAATTTCAGGAAAAAAAAAAAAAAAATCTTGCTTAGTACTTGATAAAAGAGGGAAATTGCTCATTTTACATTTAGGTAGAAACCTCCACAAACAATAGTCGTCGCTACAAAAAAATATTCACTTTCAACGAGGCAAATTTTTGTCACGAAAAATCATTTTTATGTTGTTTAATCGAGAGAGAAGTTTTCGTTATTAAAAGTAACATTTTTTGTAGATATTGATGGTATTTATTTGAGTGAATAATTTATATTTTAGAATTTTCAGAGTTGAATAATTTTTGTATTTTGAACATCTATCATAGAAGTGGACTTTTTGAAACAATAAATTGCTAGCTTAATTGAATATATTAATAAGTTCAGGGTATCATGCATAGACTCTTTTAAGACATTCAAAGGATAGATTTCAGAGTTGTCACCATTTTCTTATAGCGTGTGATTGGCCTTACACAATTGAATCATTAAAATGATTGCTCCTTAAGTCTCGGACCCAATATCTCCAGCATTGAGGATAAGAATAATATGAAAAATCTTTAGGGATATAAGCGTTATAATGAGCAAAGATTAAAAACCTTAACTGCAATTACAATATAGTGTAAAAAAAAATTGTAACGTTAATATAATTATCTTTATGAAATCCAGTAATTATGTGGAAAAAAAAAAAAAAGATCACAATTACGCTGCTTTACCAAGGAAGATGTGGTCCTGTCACAGGGGGCCCAGCTGGTCGCCCAATTATTAGGGCAGATGGGGCCCAGGTCAATAGCAAAGTTCTAGAGATTGTGAACAATCATATCACACGTTTAGACTTAAATTCAGTCTCAAATTAAGATAAAATACGTGTCAAAATATGATTGGACAATTTGAAAAATTAAAACAAAAATATTCAATTATTTTCTGATACATCAATCTGTTTCTTTACCCTCTCGTTCTTAACCTTAGACAAATGGCTTAACCCGATTGTGAATATTATATTTGTTAAACCAAACTTTGAAAGATCATCTACACAATAATCAACTCCGAAATTCCATTGTTTCCTAAATTATTGCTCTAGTAAATTTAATTTACTACAAAATGATACATAGAGATAGAGACTCATAGTGATAGAGTTTGCCTGGTTTTAGAGTGCTTGATAAATAACTACTTTTCTTGATAGCATATAAAAATGTGCGGTCGAAATAAAAAAGCAGCTAAAAGCGTGCCTACGTTTATTTATTTTATGAAATTATTGATTGATGAGTTATATGTTCTCCATTAATGTTATTGCATGGCCATGAAGAGGAATTTAACTGCTGCTGAAGCTGCCGGACAAGCAGTATTTGACGTATGTCCCACAATCTCTGCCGGAGCACGACGGACTCTGACCGGAGCCGATCATTTTCTCTCCTTATAATTTGGTCGTTATACGATATCAATCTCAGCCGGTTCATCAGTTCTTGGTTTCCAATCCTAAACCGGCTAACTTTATCCCTCAAGCTCTCCAGATCTTTCTGTTTTCGCATTCGAGACCGCCTTGCTGATTCCCGGTTCGATATCATTCGCCTCCGCTTTCGGTCATCAATTATGTCACCTGAACGTTTAGTTTTACCAGAACCGGATATTAAGTTTTTCGAGCGAAACGAACCGGATTTACGAGGTTTCGAGTTATCCGAACCGGGTTTAGAAATAACCGGTTCTTGTGGTGGTTTTACAGGTTCCTTCGGCGACGGTGGAAAGAAAGACGGCGGTTCTTGGGAATCCCAAGGTGTGAAACCACTTTCAAAGGTGGGGAATGGGTTTCCAAAGAAGGATTCTGATGCTGGAAACGTGGACAACATGGCCGGAAAACCGCTTATAGGGGGTGGAGGAGGTTAGGAGGAGTAAAGGGAAGAAACGAGTGGCAAGAGGTGCTATTTATGGAGCAAATTTGGTGGGTCCCATTCGGCTTTTGAGTCAGCTCGCACTAATAGTGGTGGGCTAGTAGGCTTGGCTTTTCCAAAGAGTACATGGGCCTTGCGTAATTAGTGGGGCCCAGACAGGCTTAGTCATGAAGGAATATTGATGTGGGTCCCACTTTCCTTTCGTTTCCATTATTTGTAAGCTGATTGTGGATGGAGTTTATCGGCTTCGGCTTGATGCGCCGATATGAGTGGATTGAGCTGTCAAAGCTCATGAGCTATTGTATCAATCGGCTTCACGGCTTACTGATTAGTCTCAACTTTTTATTTTTCTTTTGAATAACATTACTTGTACATAATTTTTTTTATATCGAAGTGTCCCACACTCATATGGGATGGAGCCTGCTCTACGTATATCTTAATGTACAAAAATTTATGTACACCCATCAAAGCCCTTTTCTTTTTCCTTAAACAGCAATTATGAATTATGTACTTTTATTAAGTTTTTATTTTTTCTCAAATTTATCTTCAATCCACGTCTCATGAGAATTTTTATATGGAATTTTTCTATTTATCAGTTTCATGTTAAAAAAAAAAATTCACAACCAGAAAGATCGAGAATTTAACCCTAATTTATCTGTAGAATTATGGTAGAAGCACGAAGTGATGGGTGTTTTTGTGACCTAAACAAATCACTCCATGTGGACATTAATTTAAAAAAAAGCACTTTTGGTTATTTACAGTTTTTTGAGAGCTATTGGGTTAGATAAAGATCCTTTTGGACTTCGCAAATGCGAAGAGTCATCATCCCATCTTTATTCTTTTGTTTTTTTCTTTTGACAAGTAATCATAAAATTTAAGAAAATCATTTGGGCACGATAACTCACCTAGTCCAACGAAAAATCGTGCTAAGTCTTATCTTAAATTAGATTTTTTAGTTAGTAGATTGTAATAGAAGTTTTAAAAATGTGCGATTGAAAAATTGTTGGACCCATGGTATTATTAATATCAATTGTTAGATTTTTTTTACTTAAATTAAAGTCGGATTTTAATTCAAACCAAACAGGCACTTAAATTCATATTACACGTGTTTCGTTTATTCTAGATGAAGTGAGAAGGGATGCACATTTGAACTTAACTAAGAAGAAAGCAAATGCACAGCTTTATTGTTAGGTTGAAAATGGTTAGCATGAGGCCGACAATACTAGATATTGTTTTAGTCACATGATCACCATATTCAATTTTATTCCCATTTTTTGTGTATAATTCATTTTTGAAATAATAAATTGATGAAGAATGTATGGTTAAAAATTAAAAAAAAATTGAATTTACGTATAATATTATTTTATTAAAAAATGTGTGATTAAAATGAAGAGAGAAAAAATATATTTTAAAAATAATGGGAAACGAACAATGGGGGTGTCCATGTTTTATTTTGGCCTTTTACCATTACTTTTTGGAACATCCTTATCTCCAACCTCATGGGACTACATTACATGTACACCCAAATC